GCGAGACGCAGGCGCTCCGTTACGCCGGTCGTTGTGTTGCGAACGACAAATTGAACTCTCAAACAAAAAACTTGACTGACTTTAGCGCACCTGTCGCGTAATTAGCGCTTTCGAGAACGACTTAGCCTCGATCTTCGTGGATAGCCAAGGAATGGTCTAGCCTTCTCAAATCATTTGCATTGGGCAGTCTTCGAGGGGAACTTACATCCTTCTTCAGAATTAACCTAACTACCAGTCGGGAGTTCCGGGATAAGTAGCAAGGCACCGTCAGGCACGCGGGAGCGCTGTAAATTTTCTAGCACGAGGATGCAGTGCTGACTTTTTACTACACACTCAGATTTGAGTCCTTAAAGCAACAGTTCAGGAACGGTTTCGCGGGAAAAAACCACCAATAATGAAGTTGTAGATGAAAACCAGACGATTAATGTATGAAAAACTGGAAAAAAACGTCGGGGAGGGTCTTAGACAGGTACTCTCCCTCTGCCGCTCAGCAATGGATAAAGACGCACGTTGGACGAGTTGTCTGAACGTGCCCGCTGTAAACGCGCTCCATTTTTCAATCAATTTTCCCTGTGGTCCCAAAACGAGCACGATTGCCGACGCGTCCAATGACGGCCGGCAAGGGGGCGGGATTGGGGAAATCCCCAAGAACACCCATGTTTGAGGGACTTTCCACCCTTTTTGAGTTTCTGAGGTAAGTTCGTTTATTATTTCCACTGCATATGTTCTTCACTAGGGCTCGTGTATCCCTCAGTAGTAGTGGCATTGAAATTTTCGGACCCTCCCTGAACTGTTGCTTTAAACACATCTCCGAGCACCCTGCTCAGGTTCCGAAAGTCAAAAACATCCTAACATCCAAATAGCGACTCCAAAATTCTTGCATAGCATCTTTAGCACACCTAACTTAAATGCGCGGAATGAAGAATAGCAAACCTGAACTGACCTGAATACTATCAGAATAAAAACAAAGTAGCAAACTATTTAGATCATACTACGCTCGTTTTCTGAGTTAGAACGAAATTCTCGCTAACTAACTCTGGACACTCCGCCGCGCGAGAGACGCTCAACATTGTGGGATCGGAGGGCTCCGAACGCCGTGAACATTTTAGCTTACGCTGCTGCATCGGTACGTTCCTTATGAATGAGATCTCTGCTTGGTCACATGCAATAATACGAAACGTCTTCACTTGAAGACAGGTCCCACGATCAAATTTGTGTGGGATGTTCGCTCGATAACGAAAGTAAGTGCAGCACTGGGCTGCAATAAAGTCATTCCTGAACATATACTCACAATTGGAACACAGAGAAATAAGCATGGCCCTGCGTACACGGCAACGAAATTCGTGAAAGCGTTCCAAAATTTTTTTCTCTTCGTTTGTATCCTGGTTTGCAGTGCCCACACAGCCAATCGTGTAACAAATCAAATCAAATAAGCAAAAGGAAAAAAGGCACCGCCGAAAGTGGAATGAGAGCTGTTTTTCGAGCTACAAGAAAGAGAGCGTGGACACGAGCGATAGTACATCACCTATACCGTCAATTTCCAGAAAATTTTCTGAGTAGAACCACCGTGCATCCTAAAGGGCACCCATGTCATTAGGAGGGATGTTCAAAACGGGGCATTCAAAAACCGCTGATAAGTGACGCTGAAAGTGAGACTAAACCGAAGTGGGAGCAACGCCAGCAAGAACAAAGGTTGCTTCGTTCTTCCTCAGAATCCCTTCCTCTCGCTAAAGCTCAACCCCAGTTCTGTAAGTGGCGTACCCTCAATGTCCCATCCCCCTAAAGCATTTAGAACTTCTGACCTGCAGCTTGAATAATCAACTTCCGTACATCCTATGGTGCGCCAAGCACCCCAATCTTCATTAAAGCTGGCCTCACTCCGGTAACCTGATATGGAGTGATAGCTACTATGATCTTCAAATTTTAATTTCAAGAACAAAAAGCTGTAGCATCATAAAAGCGATCTGGAGTGTTTTTCAACCACATAGTACATATTCACACAGATACGACTAGGGAAATAGTCATGGTGGGGAGGGAGAGGGTCTTGTGGGAGCCTCCAAGGCTGCCGAATTTTTTCGCTGTCGGTAGGGTGAATAACGGTCGAGAATTCCTCGACCATGGCTCTCTACTGTGCGAGAGTAGTGCCGAGAGTGAACGTACGCGCGGAGAGCACAGACGGCTCGCGCATGGCGAGTGTGAATGTCCGCGCGGAGAGTGACTGATCAGGCGAAAATCCTCGACGTGCCGTTGAGGAATCCTCGACCGATATTCACCCTGCTATGAGTCTACGTCCGAGTAGCTCCCATTCAGCTGAGCCGTGACTAGCTGCTGAGTCTTTCAGCGGCGACCACCGGCATTGGATCAGATACAAGTTGTAATAATATTTTGAAATTTCACATGACGTCATTTTTTTTAGAATTCCTGCCCTGCAAATGTATTCCCAACACGAGAAGCTATCGAATTCATTCATGGAGGGAATCACGTTTGGATAGGAGGTGAGATCAATGATTAGGTGACCAAGTCGATCGAGAGCTGTGAGCCGGATAATTTTGAAGTGTTCAAGGTGATATGCGGGTCACCACACAAGCCACTAATGATCCAATATTCTATCTTCACCACTGCATGATCGACAACATCTGGGAGAGATGGCGACAGTCTCGACAGGTAAGCAGATGGAACTCCATCAGGGAGGTTGACCAATTGCCGTCTAGCTGAGGAAAGTCGAGCAGTCATCGAGTCGTGATTCGTCCCAGGTTTCTGGCCCACGGGGGCGATCTTTTGTCACCAGGTTGCGCGACAGTTTGCAGCGTCTACGGCACAATATTTTGCGCCAGTGCTGGGGATATTCTGTAACTAAAGGCGGATATCACGGTAAAGTGGGTGTAAGTGAAGGGGAGATATGCCTACTTCAAAGGGATGCATAGTTCCCAAGGAACTGATGAGAGGCTTATAATGCGGCGAAAGGCTCGTCCATCGCAACTTAGGAAATCCTATCCCTGGCGAGCGCTCCCTGCGTGGCGAGGCTCACCTCTGAGTAAAGGGCTGGGGCTACGCTTGGTTAGAGAAAACGATCAAGCTGGTTGCGAGGTAGAGTCGCTGCCTACGCGTTATGGACGATAAGATCTAGGAACTATTATGGTTGGACGAGCATGATCCCATGAAAAATACGATACCATAAGGTATGAAGATACGGCTGCTTGAAAAAACGATAAGTACCAACGGGGCGGCGGGGAGGAGGATCCTGGGGGGGGGTGAGGGTCGTGGTCGTACGTAATTTATTTAGAGAGCGGAAAAAATTTCGCCAAATTTCGTCGTTTTATTGTATAATATGTGTATACCTCCCTCCCGGCCGTTTCGGGGAAAGAGGAAAAGTGTAGTGGAGTTAGGTGTGTCGACTGGTGTCAGCATTAAATACTATAGAAACAGTGACCTTGATGGCGAGGGTTGTGAAGGGGGGGGGGCGTAAAAATTTCCGAAAAGTAGCAACGGTAGGACCGACTCTGAGCGTAAGTAACCGGATGTGGGTTTCGGCGCCTTATCATGCCGTTAATAAGGCGCCACTGCCTCTGAAACGTTATAACCTATTGTCTCATAGACCAGGACCCCTATCCATTCCCTACATAAGTTTCCTTAACGTTCCCATGAGATTTGTCGTGACCACTTCCTCTAAGGTGCACCTAACGTTAAAAAGGCAATCCCCCTTCCCTTGAATGGGAAACAAAACGTTCTAGAAATGACCTTCTTGTTCACTACATTACTTCTAGTCGCAGTTACAACAGCATTTTTCCTTCGATCCTTCTCTGAGTCTTCATTTAATTAATTATCTACTAAAAGAAAGGCCTGAGAGGTCAAGAAAAAAAGCAATGGTTCGTCCATCTGGTAGCCTTTTTCTCATTGTGCAATGCCATCAATTCCAGTCACGAACCCAGCGCCAAAACGACTATCCCGCGGACAACATTTACTGTAGCAGTCAGTCGCATTTCGCACGATCTATTATGGTCCCGTTCTCGCCGATGGTGAACATCGACGGGTTAGTTAATGACTACACGGGTAAGTCAGAGGTGTTCTACCATAGTGTGTGGTTAATCTAGAAAATTCCTGATTTAATTGATATTATAGACAATCTCTACACCTATGCCCCCAGGCCGACTTGTTCCAGCACCAACAGAGATTGCGGATCGAGGTAAATTTTTTGCGGAATTTTTCTTGCTTTTCCTTTTTGTGCACTGAGAATAATCAATCCTATGATACCTGGAGGAAGAGGGGCGCCTGCAAAAAATATAGCATTATAAACTGCAACTGCTAACTATAGTTGTCTACATATTTACGAACTGAATCAATTATTACTTTATTTATTTATTACTACATGATAAAAGGGGTAAGGAAACCAAAAAGGCGGGATAATTGAAAATGTGCTCTGAAGAATATCACTGAGAAGAAAAGAACAAGATGTGGTTCAGATAAAGTTATTTCCATCGTTGTAATGGCGCAAGTCCCGATAAGCGATAAAACCCTTAGAGAAATTCTATTTTTGAGTAAAGTAC